AAATATTTATTTATTTAAAACAAACAATAAATTTAAATTAGACTATCATTAATACCTTGAGGCAACCAAAATTCATCTCTCATCAAATGGTAAAATGCCACATCGAATCGATTTAGACTTCTTATTGAAAATCCTTCTGGATTTTCAACCCTTATCCTTCTAGAGTTCTCATAACCGTGAACCATCGCGGCCTATTTTACTTGGCATTGTCTGCTAATAACTTAAGCTGGATGATGATTATTGATTTTGGTTGCTATCCCATCCCAGATAGCTACATGTTTAATATTCAGAGCATTTTCGAATTCTACGCGATAATCATTATGAAGATTTATTAAATCTTCTATTGCATCGAAAGTCCAAACCATTCCAGCCATATTTTGATATTATATTTGGAGAAGTTAATAAAGAGAAGACAAAGAATATAGAGAAAATAGTAAAAGATTTTTTTAAATAAATTTATTGAATTATATGATGTATGTTTATATATTCTCAAATAATATCTTTATTTTTCAAGTTCTTTTATTATGATTCAAATCTTGTTTAAGAAGATTATTAATTTTTTTTTTTCGATCACATTAATTAATATGATAATACATATCAAATTATTGTATTAAGAAAAAATCATTTGAAACAAATATTTTCCTTATTATGATTTTTTTTTTGATCACATTAATTAAAATGATAATACTGTACAAATCAATTAAATGTATTAAGAAAAGACATTTAAAACAAATTTATTTCCTATTTTTTTTTTTTTGATCACATTAATTAAATTATAATACATTGAAATAATATATTTTCTGATTATTATTTTTTTTTCAATCACATTAATTAAAATAATACGTCAATATACTATACAAATCAATTAAATGTATTAAGAAAAGACATTTGAAATGATATATATTTTCCATTTATACTGTACTTGTTCTTCAGACTAATTAATTTATTACCGATGTAGAAATTTATTATTATCAATTAAACGATATATATCATCATATTAAACATGATTAAAATCCAATCAATATATAATTACGCAGGAGTTTATCTACTTAAATTCTTTTCACTATGTCTGGACTAATAAATTTATAATCAATATAGAAATTTATTATTATCGATTAAATGATATATATTGTCGTATTAAACACGATTAATGTCTAATCAATATATAATTACGCAGAGGTTTATCCACTTGAATTCTTTTCGCTACGCCTTGACTAATAAATTTATTATCAATATAGAAATTTATTATTATCGTATTAAACACGATTAAAGTCTAATCAATATATAATTATGTAGGAGTTTGTCCACTTGAATTCTTTTCACTATGCCTGGATTAACAAATTTATTATCAATATAGAAATTTATTATTATTGATTAAATAATATATATCGTCATATTAAACACGATTAATGTCCAATCAATATATAATTACATAGGAGTTTGTCCACTTGAATTCTTTTTGCTATGTCTAGACTAATAAATTTATTATCAATATAGAAATTTATTATTATTGATTAAACAATATATATTGTTGTATTAAACACGATTAATATCCAATCAATATATAATTACGCAGGGGTTTGTCCACTTGAATTCTTTTCGCTACACCTGGACTAATAAATTTATTATCAATATAGAAATTTATTATTATTGATTAAACAATATATATCATCGTATTAAACATGATTAATGTCTAATTAATATATAATTACGCAGGAGTTTGTCCACTTGAATTCTTTTCGCTATACCTGGACTAATAAATTTATTATCAATATAGAAATTTATTATTATCGATTAAACGATATATATCGTCATATTAAACACAATTAATATCCAATCAATATATAATTATGCAGGAATTTGTCCACTTGAATTCTTTTTGCTACGTCTAGACTAATAAATTTATTATCAATATAGAAATTTATTATTATCGATTAAACAATATATATCATTGTATTAAACACGATTAATGTCCAATCCATATATAATAGTCTGGTACATTGAGACCCACAAAGTGTATTATTTCATGACGCATGTGTATAAATGCATAATTTTTGCAAGAGATTTACCTTTTTTATTCTGCGTAATTAAACAATTCGATTTAGTACTGATTAAAATAATAAATCATCATATAAACTAATTAGATACAAGTAATCTTATTTAAATTTGTAAGTGATTTACCTTTTTATTCTGCATAATTAAACATTTTAACTTAATTAAGTATTGATTAAATAATTAACGTTATCAATTTATTTTTGTTCTAAATTTGTAAAAAAAAAAATCAATCAATTAAACAATATATATCTCACGTAATAGTAAAAATAAAGTGTATAAGTTTATGTAATTTTATTTTCGAACAAAAAAGAATTCTATTAAAAAATCACCATGTTATCACATTATCCTTATACGATACATTATAAATAATTTCATATTTTTCCAGACTCTCTACTTGCTTTTCAAGGAGTTATTTTTATTTTTAATGATTTTTTTCTTCTTGTGTAATCGGTCTTGGTTAATTTTTTTGTCAAAGTTGTTTTTTTTGTTAACAACTTAAGAATTTTTTTATTTTTACTTACTTGGCTTTACTACTAGCCATAATTTTTTTTCCAGTTAATTTTTTTGCTTATAACTTTTCTTCTTGTTGTTCAGTTTTGGTTAATTTTTTTGTTTAGTTGTTTTTTTTTAACAACTTTTATAATTATTCTTCTTGCTGCTCTCGACCTACAAATTTTTTTAAACATAAACTATAAGTTGCTTAATTAGAGCACCACAAGCGATACTTTCTATAACAAATAAAACAGAACAAGTTTCCAGAGTGGTTATAAGAACCCCCAAAACATCCAATCAAACTTTTAATATATTTTTTTTTTTAATAATTGTTTCATTTTAAATCTATTTATGGGAAAATACATGGAGCTTTGTATCCTATGTTTTCT